GGTTCTGAAGTGAAAACACCTCACCCATTGGTGTACAGTGCTTGATGCACAATGATTAAATTTAACTATAAACAATGTGAAAAACAAGAGAGATAAAGAATTATTTATATTCTTTCCCAGCACTTTCCCAGGCTTTTTCTTTCTTTGACTGAATCTGAGACCCACCAAAACTGCTTGTGCCAGGATGGAGCTGTGTGGGCATGGAGGAAAACCTCTGCTGAGGCTGACTCCTTGTGGCACACCCAGGGCTGACCCCAGGCTCAGCTCTGTTCTTTCCTTGTGGCTGGCTAGATAGAATTGGATTGCAAAATAAATATTTTATTTTTTCCTATTAATTTGGCTGGACAAATTTTCATTTATAACAGTTGGGAAGGTGGAAGATTATATTTCTTGCCACTTGAAGATGAAAAGGCAAAACAAGAATTCTTGCTCTGGAGTGTCAGGATACAGGGCTGGGATCCCAGGGTTTGTCAGGATGGGGACTGGGATGAGCTGAACCAGGGCGTTAATGAACCAACCCCAGCACACCCAGCTCTCATTAGCAGCTTCTCAGAAATGACCTTGCCTCACCACTCACGTTTTTCCAGGAATGTGTCCAGGACAAAGCTCTAGAACCCCGGGATTATTCTCCTTCCTAGAAATACCTACATGAGCGATTCCAATCTCTTAACTTGCATGTATTCACTTTTTCATTCATCTCAGCTGCACCATGGCTTTCCATTTCAGATTTTCTCTTTGCCTGACACTCAGTAAATTTTGAGAAGAATGGAAAACAAAAATTGGGGGGAAATGTCACAACTGCTTTCAAAAAATCTCTTTCTAAAGACTGAGACACTTATTTAAATATTACCAGAAAGATCATCTTGGTAGCTTTCATTCAGAGATATATTCTTTCAGAAATCCTGCTGACTAGGACAGCAACAAAAAGAAAATGTGGTTTGGTTTTTTTTTAATAGAATAATGGAATTCCAGAGTGGTTTGGATTGGAAGGGACACTGGGGGCAGGGACATCTTCCACTGTCCCAGGTTTCTCCAAGCCCTGCCCAGCCTGGCCTTGGGCACTGCCAGGAATCCCCCGTTTGACACCAACAGTGCCATTTGCAAGGAGTATAAATTCATTATTTCATTAACATGCAGTGATTTTCCCAAGGACAGGAACGGGATTCAGGCCTGCCAATGTGCATCTCAGATGATTCCTTCTGCACTGTTTGCTTGCAGCAGCCGTGCTGGGATTCATTCCTAGCCCAGGGCATTGCCTCATAGCGCTGCTTCCCGGGACACACAGCCCAGGGGAGCTGGAACATCCCCAACTCCTGCTGGAATCCTTCCTGGGAACCATGGAGATTGGTAAAGAGCGTTCATTTCATCCTTCTGCTTGTGCTGGAAAAGCAATTGCACATTTACGAGGCAGGTGTTGACACCTAAACTCAGGGCGTTCCTACTCGGGTCTGTTTTCCTCCTTTGCCTTGCTCGAAATAAAAAGGGTTGAGAAAAGGATTTTGTTTGTGCTGCCTGCAATGCTGGCCCCTGAAAACACAATTTGGAACCTGTGCTGGGTCCTCTGTCCCTCAGCAGAGCAGATGAAGCCCTGTGACCCTGAACTGAGTTACCCTTCACCCTCACTGAGCTGACCCTGCTGCACGTCACCAGGATGAGCTGGAGTGGAGGAAGGAGCCAGCTAAACCCAGCTTGATTCTGGCTTAACTCTGAAGTTGGTTCATTTCCCACCCTGGCCTGGCTGCATGTTTCAGGAGAAACAGGGAGGTGAAGGATTGGAAACTTCTTGAGGGACTCTTCTTGGAGTCTTGTTGGCATCAAGGTCTGGTAACTCCAGGTTTTGGTGCCTCAGCACCAAAAGTGAGATCCAGAAGTCATATCCTGATGGATTTTGATGCTGCTTTATGAAGGCTTAGTCACCACCTACAGATCCTGAGAACACAATGCATGGAAGGTCCCAATCTGCTCCTCAACACTGGCACAGCACCAAGGACAGAAAGATTTCTTTGCTTGCCTGAGATCTGTAGGGTTTTGTTCTCAGTAATTTAGTGGGGATTCTTGAGGATGGAAGTTGGTACAGCAGTCACCATGATTGTGTCCTGCCTGTGTGACAACGTGCAGCTCCTTAAAGAAGAACCTGAAAATTTATATCCTTTTTCCCAGATACTAATAAATTACAAAAGCACCACAAACTACAAAAGGCCCATTTTTCCAGTCTCTGAAAATCCTGGAGATGAGCAGGGAAGACACCACTAATCCCCAGGCATCTAATTTCCATTTTGAATCTGCTTTCCCCTTTGAATCTGTTGTAACTTTAAAAGAACCCAAATTTTCTCCCTCTGAAGGTAACTCTATGAGATTCTTAACTGAGCTATGGTCAAACAGTTTTGGTACCAACAAAAGGTACCTTATGGCTGTGAAACTTCCTCCAGCTTATTCAGAATATTTCTTGCTGCAGATGAGTCCTGATCATGATTTTCTTTTCAGGTTTCGAGTCTCTGGGCTCGTCCAGAGTTTTTCAGGCTCCTGAAGAGCATGTTTGGAGGCAGCTCAGAGAGCTGTGAAGCTTCTTGTACTCCATGCTGTATTTTGCTCCTCCATTTTCCCCTTTAGCAAAAGTCCTCAGAGTTATGAAATCCACACTTTTCCCTTTACTCCACTTGACATGAGGCTAACACCATAAATCCACAACACCAGGCATGCACTAAGATGTCAACTCCAAGTCAACCCCATTTCAGCTAAGGAACTTGGCCCAGGTCAGCATCTCCAATAAATTCCCTTTACCAAACAAGCACAAACACATTGTTCAGCTCAAATCCCAAAGCTGGCCGTGTAACCAGGCTGACGTTGCTCGTTCCCTGGAGCTCGGGGAAATAAAGCTCCTTCAGATCCCAACATGACCACGGCCACTGGAGAGCAGCCCACCACTCTGACATTTCAATCTGAAAATCTGCAGGGCTTAGGTCATAACAGAACCACCTCCTCCTCCCTGGCTACTCCAGCAAACCTCTCCCTTTTACTCATTGGTAACCAGCTTTGTGTTTATAAAGCAATAGTAAACATTTTCAGCTATTGTCAAGGCAGAAAATAATAATAAAAACAATAATAATAAACCCTCAAACACAGGGTCAGCTTTTCATCCACTTATCTGGAAAAAACAGATAAGGACTTTGGAAGCTGCCGTAACAATCACGATGTGAGTAAAACTCCCAGTGCATTTAGTGATCATGATCCAAGCAGGGGCAATCCAAGATCCCCTATTGGAGCCAGTGAAAACAGAAATTCTGAAGCCTTTAACCTCGCTGCTCCAGCCCAGACCTCCTCGAGTGTGCTCACAGAGCCTGACCAGTTCCACCACAGAGCTTCGTTGTTATCCAGCTCCGTCTGCTTTTCCTCCAAAAGTAGAGTCCACATCTGCAAAGTGACAAAGTCAGCGTTTACACTTTCCCCAACTATCTGGCATATTTTGAATTTTTGAGGATTAATGTCGCGAACAGGCAGCGCTGTTTGTCTGCAACCCAGACAAAATCCTTTGGCCAATGAGTGCAAGTCTGTTTGCAATTTTGAGGGGAGCACTAAAAGATCCGTCAGCTTAGTTTGAAAGGAAATCTGAAAGTAATATACTTCATTTTTCTTCTTAGTCTAGGATGTGGATTCTTTCCTTTAGTTATCCATGTGGAATCACAGAATGGTTTGGATTGGAAGGGACTTAAAGATCCCATTCCACCCTTGCCATGGCAGGGACACCTTCCACTGTCCCAGGCTGCTCCAGCCTGGCCTTGGGCACTGAAGGGAAAAAAAAACTTTATTAAGCTACTACTATACTACTATAAAGGGGAAAAAAAAAAGAAAGGAAAACACATACATAAATTTAAAATTAAAATACTCACTACCCAACTTTAACAAATTACAGTGAGACCCATTTGGATCTTTAATTAAGTATTTATCTCCTAATATAATTAATATTAAGTTTATTAGGGGAGAGAGGTTTCTCCCTTGCACTATAGACTTTCAGGAAACTGTACTACACTGACTGGAACTAAATAGAGCGAGTTCTTATTGGAAATCTGCTTTTAACCTGTGTTCTCAGAGGCGTGTCTACCTTTAATTGGTCACTTTGAGTGTCAATATCTAAACTGACCTCTTTCTTCTGAGAAGATTCTTTTTTTCCGTGTCAAACCACGACACGGAATTCCAGCCAGGAATTCCCAATTCTGGGCTGGTCCTGTCCCTCCATCCCTTATCCAAAGCCCCTCGCCAGCCTTTTCCCCTCCCTCGGATGAAAACCCAGTGCTTTCTCTTCCTCAGCCACTGAAATCTGGGTTTATTTTCCCCAGAAACCTCTTTAGAGGTCACATTTCTGTGACAAGCCGCCACTCGGCTCTCCAGAACTCTATACATTAATTTCTTGGAACGCGGCATCCCCCATCCTCAAGCGCTCTTTCCGTCCGGGCTGCTTTTTTGCCACAGAAGCAAACCATATTCCTCATAACACACCACGTAATTCTCGAGAATTACGAGTCAACGAAAGCACAAACTCGGCGGAGTTTGAACACCGACTCCCCGGCCCGGGCGAGCAGCGGCTCCGCCGCCGGGCGAGCGCCGCCCTCACGCCCGCCCTGAGGGCGCTGCCCCGGCGCCCTTTCCCCGCCTTTTCCCGGCATTTTCCCGGTGTTCTGTGCCCCTCAGCCTCCCCGGGGCTCGGCTGTGAGGGGTGTGGGGCAGCATCGCCTCCCTCAGCCTCCCCGGGGCTCGGCTGTGAGGGGCGTGGGGCAGCATCGCCTCCCTCAGCCCAGGGACACACACGGCGGGAGGCGCCGGCTCCGCCCGCCGTGTGAGGGGCCGGGCCGTCCCTCGCTGCCCGCGGAAGCGAAAGCGAAAGGCGGCCCCGGCAGGCTGCGGAGGTGGCCGGGAGCCGCCGGCAGCTGTGCCCCTGGCCCGCTCCGACCCGCTCCGACCCGCTCCGACCCGGTCCGGCCCGCTCCGACCCGCTCCAACCCGCTCCGACCCGCTCCGACCCGGTCCGACCCGCTCCAACCCAGCCCGACCCGACCCAGCCCGGCAGCTGAGCGGTGAGGGAGGCCTCGGGTCCCTTGCAGGAGTCGCGGATAAACCAAGGGCAGCTATCGTTCATTCACGCTTTCACTTTCTCTCTCTTTCTTTAATTTTTTTTTTTTTTTTTTTTTTCCCAGGAAACTGTAACGAAATTTCTGAATAAAACGATTCCGGGACCCACAGCCTCAGTTTTTCTCAAGCCTCTTGAGTGAAGGTGGTGTCGGCTCAGAATCGAGGTGAGGATTCCCAGAAGTGCCCGGGTGGGTCGGGAATTTGGGCTGCTCCTGCTGGGATTTCCTGGTCAGACAGTGTCAGATCTGTGGAATATCCACCCTAAACTTTAGAGGATCAAACGGCGCCTCTGAATTTGGGCTGCTCCTGCTGGGATTTCCTGGTCAGACAGTGTCAGACCTGTGGAATATCCACCCTAAACCTTGGAGGATCAAACCTTGTCCCTGAATTTGGGCTGCTCCTACTGGGATTTCCTGGTCCAGAGTGTCAGACCTGTGGAATATCCACCCTAAACCTTGGAGGATCAAACCTCGCCCCCGAATTTGGGCTGCTCCTACTGGGATATCCACCCTAAACCTTGGAGGATCAAACCTCGCCCCCGAATTTGGGCTGCTCCTGCTGGGATTTCATGGTCAGACAGTGTCAGACCTGTGGAATATCCACCCTAAACCTTGGAGGATCAAACCTCGCCCCCGAATTTGGGCTGCTTCTACTGGGATTTCCTGGTCAGACAGTGTCAGACCTGTGGAATATCCACCCTAAACCTTGGAGGATCAAACGGTGCCTCTGAATTTGGGCTGCTCCTGCTGGGATTTCCTGGTCCAGACAGTGTCAGACCTGTGGAATATCCACCCTAAACTTTAGAGGATCAAACTTTGCCCCGGCAGCCCCAGATTGGCTTGGGAGCCTTTGCACTGACCTTGGCATCTGCTCCTGGTCAGTGGCCTGGGAGCTCCCCCAAATTCCTTTTTATCTGCAACCACAAAATGCTGTGGATTCTGAATTTCAAATGATCTGCTGCGTGAAAGTGTTTCCGTTTGTGTTGAGCAGGTTTTGTAGAATCCTAGAATGGTTTGGGCTGGAAGGGACATTAAAACTCACCCAGTGCCATGGCAGGGACACCTCCCACTGTGCCAGGCTGCTCCAAGCCCCATCCAGCCTGGCCTTGGGCACTGCCAGGGATCCAGGAACAGCCCAGCTTCTCTGGAAATCCATTCCAGCTCCTCCTCACCCTCCCAGCTGGAATTCCTTCTCAATATCCCACCCAAATCTCTTCAAGTTCGAAGCCACTCCCTGTGTCCTGTCCCTTCCCTGGAGCCCCTTCAGGCCCTCTCTGAGGTCTCCTTTTCTCCAGGCTCTCAAGCACAGAACTCACAGGCTCTTGCTATGTGTGTAACAGCACAAAAATTGAATAAAGGTAAATACACAGCTACCAGAACAACAAAGTTGAGTTGTGCACTGCAGAATTGCTCACACCTGTCCCTGGCTTTTATTTCCTTGTAAGGAAGGAGGCTTCAGATATCCAATGTCTGTCACTTTTGCTTATGGAATTATACAGTTTTGTTAAAAACTCTTTCACCACAGCTTCTGGTATTCCTGATATTCTGTTGCATAAAAAAATCCCCAAAGAATTCACGCAATGTTGTCATTTTTTTTTCTCTTCCCTCAGGTTTCCATGGATGTTCCAAGCCCCCCATTATCTCTTCAAGACAATGGTTTTGTAAGTATTCCCCGATGTGCTGCCTGGGAGTAAGATCTGTATTTGACTCTTGTATCTCTGACTGAAAGTTTGTGCTGTCACTGCTTCTGCTTGTCTCACCTTCTTCCACCCTTTAAGACTTGGGACATTCCCCATTTCCACCTGCTGTTTCCTTAGGGAGAATCCCATTCCCAAGATTCTGCATCCCAGATCCTCGCAGAACTTTCTGTCCTGCCTCTCTTGCTCATCTGTCTTTGTGGAGGATTTCCAGGGAATTTCCCTTCTCCTAGGATTCAGCTCCAGCAGTGCACAAGTGATTTGGATGGGACTTTCCCTGGGGTTTCTTGTGTTTTCTTGGTTATTTTTTTCCTTCTTTCAGGATGAAAACTGTCATGTCAAACCAATTTTTTTTTAGAAAAGAACAGGCATTCTTTTTCTTATTATCTTCCAGCTGTTGGCATGTGCATCCTTTTTATTCCCTGCACTCAATCTCTGGAGTGAAGGAATATTTTTCCCATTGTAACTAAGACACAGATGGGTATTTCCCTGTTGCTTAGTTTGAAACTGGAAGGAGCACTTTATATTTTATGATTTTTAGGAAATGCCCAGCATTACCAAGAGAACTGACAAGATCATCTCATTCAGATCTTTTCCATGGATTATCGAATTTAGACCCTTTCCATGCCTAAATTTCATGGTTCCCATTCAAGCTTTACGTAATCTTGAGTAAAAAGGGAGGGAATATTTCAGCAGATCTTTTTGGATTTATATTTTTTTCTGCAGAATATTGCAGCCATAGAAGCAAAACAGAACAGAGATTTTCTCTCTCTTTGGGCTTTGTAATTTCCCTGCCCTTGTGAACTTGTGCCCTGAATTTCAATTCTGAAATGGGTCTTTTATCACCTTCCTTGATATTATCTTTTATTATCCATTCTCCCTCAGCTTGGAAGATCAACGTTCCATTTTTTATTGACAGCTTCTCCTGGAGGAGCTGCTGAGAAAGCACAGAGCTAAACATTTGTGGCTTTGAGTGGCTTAGTTCTGTGTGGAAGAACATGGAGACAGCTTGATTTATTTTTTAGCTAAATATTACCCTGGTCATTTTAGCTGTTGGATAATTAGCAAATAATAATGGCTGGCCAGTAATTCACATTTTCATCAATTTTTGTCCTGTCCAGCCATTAAAATAATTCAACTATTTGACCTAAGTGAATGATGTTTTAATTTTTTTTGGCTAAACTTTTGATTTTTTTAAAGATTGTTTTAGAATTGTTTGGGGTGTCTCAGTTGTTGCCCAACAGAGGAGAAAATCAATGTGTGCCTCTTCTCTCTGCAGAGTTTGGTATCCCCTGATCCAAGGACATCCAAGGAAGAGATGGAAAAACTTAGGGAAGAGCTGAGGATGTGGAAGGCAAGTTCTGTAAAGCACATGGAATCATGGAAATTTGCTAAAAGAAATAGATTGGCGCATCCTTGTAGAATCAGATCAAATGCCCCACATTTATAACATCTTTAATTTGTTCTCTTCTTCAGTGCTCTGTACTTGTGTTGATCCCACTCATTTAAGTTTAATATTTACCCAACGTGTTAAAAATCAACACATACAAAGGGCTTTCCCAAACTTTCGTCTGTTCCTCTAGAAAGAAAACTTTAAAAAATGTAAAATCTTGTTTTTGCTCTCCAGAACAGAGTGAAAGAGGCTGAAACTGTCAAAGTTGACCTTCTCTCCAAATTAAGTGCTGCTGACAGAGCAGAGAAGAAGCTGACAGAGCAGAGGGAGCAGCAGAAACATCGTAGGGACAGAATGATCAGATGGGAGGTATGGAGAGGGCTGGTGGAGTTTGGAGGGCTGGGAAGGAGCTGTGGGTTGGGAAAACGGGAAGAAAATTCCCATTTTCAGTGGCTTTACCAGTGTTGGTGGTCAGATGTTCCCCACATTTTTTGCTGTACTTTAGTTTTTCACTGGCAGGCAAAGAGGCAGTGCAATAAACTGAATCTGTTTTGGGATGAAACCTGACAAAACCAACCTTCCTCTTCCAAAATTCTCCCCTGCTGATGAGTTTCAGCTCTGGGTGAGGGGGATGAAGCCCAGTGGGGTGATTCCACTGCTTTGCCAACTCCCTGTTCTGTGAGAGGTCACAGCACCCAAAGGATCAGCATTTCTTAAGTGCCAGTGAGCTGGGCAAGAGCCAGGGCCTGACTGAAGAGGGATTTTCCTTCTAGAGCTGCTTGGTTCCAGAACCTCTTGGTTCATTCCCTCAATATTCCATGTGCAGGAGCAGCAGAAGGTTCCACAGGCTGCCAGGGAGGTGCTTCCAGTGAGCTTTGGCAAATCACCGATGAGAAATTCTGGCTTCAAGCTATTACAATATAATTAATAGCTTAAACACACTCAGGTTGGGCAGAGGTTTTCTGAAAGCTGATTTTGGTTCTTTGATCACAGAAGTTTGGATTTGTACCCAGGAAGGGTCGTTATCATCATCAGGCTTTGGCCTTCAGCTGGTGGGAAGTGGTCCAAGTGTCTGCAGTGGTTGCTGACATCTCAGGAGCCACCTTGTGATTGTGGCTGGCTGGAGCTGACGACATCTGCTCTGTTTCCTTCTCATCCTCTGACATTCCCTTCCAGGAAATCCTGGGTTTGCTCACAGAACTTGGTGTCCAAGCAGGATTCTGGAGGAATTACAGAGCAGACAGGAGGAGGGAGAAGGACATGAAGAGGGAAGAGCAGCAGCATGGCAGAAACTGCCCAGATGTTGCTGAAATATATTTCTGTCTTTATTTAAGTGTTTCATTTTGCATTTCATCTTTTTGGCCTGTAGCTAGAGCTCTTCCTGCTAAGGCAAGAAAACACTGAGCTGAGAAAAGAGATTGAAAAGCTCAAAGAAGACCTGGAAGAACACAGTTCCCAGGATAATCTGGTAATAAAGGGGGTGGAATATTTGCAAATTGGTCTTTTAGAAGGGCAGGGTTTTATTTTTAGAGAATGGTTTGGGTTGGAATTGACCTTAAATCCCATGTCATTCCAACCCCAGGGACACCTTCCACTGTCCCAGCGTGCTCCAGGCTCTGTCCAAGCTGGCCTGGGACATTCCAGGGATCCAGGGGCAGCCCCAGCTGGTCTGGGAATCCTCAGAATCTGTCCCTCTTAAAGGCTGTTGGGGCCACTTGTTCAGCATTTGAACTAATTTCAATATGAAATAAACCTGAAAGTTGCTTATTTTCCCTGGCAAGACAGTTTGAAGCAGGCAGATATGTAAATAAATCCAAGAGGTACTGAAAGTGTGAGAGGAATGGAAAAGAAACTAGACATTGATTAAATGGAAGGCAGTGGAATCAAAACCATTCATAGCATTGGTAATTTTCAAGTTTTCTTTTTCTTGTGTCAATTCTGAAGTTGGAGATTAAAAAGAAGGTGGCAGAAATGAAATTGAAGTTCACTCACCTGAAAGAGATGAAGCATGATGGGGCAGAGATGGATATGGACACCCACTGTGTTTTTGGGGCAGCCACAAAAGTTCCCTTCAGACTCAATCAGAACCAGGCACTGCTGACTTTTGAAGATGAAGAAGGTAGGATGAGTATTTTAATTATAAAATTAATGTCTCTGATGTATTTCACCTGGTAGTGGTGTGGTTTTCCCCCAAGGGTGTTTTGAATGGAACAGGAAAAAATCTTTTGTTAATATTTTGTACAATAAGAGCATCTTTTGACAGCTTAGAAATTTTACTAGTCACACTCAAATCTAATAGATTTATTTTATATGTATAATTAATATATTTGCTATTTTTATTGTATATTTTAATAATATTGTATATTGTTATTATTAAAGTTGATATAATATTTTGTTATTATATTATATTCGGCCTACATAAAACCACAGAGATTTTATGGAAATAGACATGGATGCTTGGGATCTGGTTGCCTAATTATTAATTATTTCTCCTTTACTGATGCAAAAGGAGATTTTTTTTTAAAGAGGCTGGGCAATAATTTGGGATTTACAATGATGAAACAAAGCTTTTCGTGTTTGATTTCTCTCAGTTGCCCTGAGACTGACAAAGAGGAGCAAGCACTGTGTGAACCTGGACGACAGAACAGCAAATGTGACAGTGAAGCCTTTTGAACTTGACATGGGATTCCAATTTGAGGTAAACAGCTGAAATATGCAACTCTCAAAATCTGAGCTCTTTAAAAGCTTTAGGTTCTTTTTTTTTTTTTTTTCAGTGTTTTCAGTCACAAAGTGCACAAAAATTTGATATTTTTAGCTCCATGTCACAGTGTCTGGAAAGAAGATTAATGTTTCAGACATACCTGAGCTTCCCATTCCTGAAGATTGGATGAGAGACAAACTTGAGCTGTGTTTCTACAGAACTGAGCAGGCAAAAGGAGAAAGAGAAATAGAAAATGTCACCTACAACAGGGGCACTGGGACAGCTGTCATCACATTCCTCAAACCTGGAGGTAGAGTCTGGAATATTTTCTTCTCCAAATTCAGGCCAAATTGTCCATCCTGGGTTCTGTTCTGGGGTCACCACTGAGTGTTGCACTCTCCCCACAGGGAGTTCAGGGATCCCCCTGAGATGTGGGGAAATAAAGCAGTTTTTCATCACATCCTTTTGGAGCAAACTGCTCACAGTTCATGAGCTTTCTTTCAGAACTTTTCCAAAAAAATCTATTTTTTTTTTTTCCTCTGCACTGCCAGGCACTCATACTGCAAACAGCAAATGAGGAAAATGTTTGATTTTAGCTCCTGTTGCAGGACAGTGCAGCTGGACAGGCATTCCTACTGCCCAGCTGGATGGAATTCCATGATCAGTGGAGCCACATCCACTTGGAGCAGCTGCTTTAGAATTATTTCAGAGCTTTGTGGGCATTTAATGATTTTGCTTTTTGTGTTGGAAGTGCCAAATAAACTCTTTGCAGAATGCACATGAAGACTCTACAAGTGTGCCATCCTATGTTAGTTTCTACATCCACAAAGAGGAGCCTGGTCTTTGAAACGTTTATAAAATACTGGTTAAATTACATTAAGTAATTATCTGTTTTTGTTTTTTTTTTAATCTCTTACAGCAAGCTACAGCTTTGTGGGATATACTGAATACCCTTTCTGTGCAGAGGAAAGGTGGTTCTTCCTTTCTGTCTCCCCACATTTCGATTTCCACTTGAGGAGATTTCAGGTAAAAGAATCTACTCCAGGCTGATAGAACAGATAAGTGGGAAATAGGAGGATGGGCAGAATTTTCACACCTTTTGTGTGAGCTTCACAGTGGGTGTGAAATAGGCTGTTGAGTTCATGTGAGGCTGAAATTTATTTTTCAAGGGTGTGCTTGTCTTTCCTTGATGGAATTATCCCAGCACTCCCCACATGGCTGTGCTGGGCTGTTTGGGAAGGAGTTTAAGCACAAAGCTCTGCCAGGATCCCAGAGTCCAGCAAATGCAACATTTGCTCATCCATTCCTTGATTTCACTCCTCCATTCAGCCCAAATGTGACTCTGTCACACAGAGCTGCCTCATCATCCTCTCTCTCCAGTTGTCTGCTGCTTTAGGAGCAGATGGCGAGCAGGTCAGCATTGTGTGTGTAATTAGAGCTTTGTAATTAAGGCACGGGCTGGGCAGTGTGCAGGACACCCAGCGGGGTTCTCTGGGCTGTGTCCTGGCAGGGATTTGAGATCCTCAAATCCAGAGAGTGGCCGTGTTAAGGAGTGCAGGACACACCAGTTACGGTGTGGGCTCAGAACATGGAACCACAGAATGTCCTGAGTTGGAAGGGACCCACAGGATCATGGATCCAGCTCCTGGCCCTGCACACACACCCCCAAATCCCACCCTGGGCATTCCTGGAGCAGTGTCCAAACTTTCCTGGAGCTCTGGCAGCCTTGGGACTGTGCCCATTCCCTGGGGAGCCTGGGCAGTGCCAGCACCCCCTGGGGGAAGAGCCTTTCCCTGAAATCCAACCTAAATCTGCCCTGGCTCAGCTCCAGCTGTTCTCTGCTCCCAGAGAGCAGAGATGGGAACTGTCCCTCAGGAGGAAGCTCCAGACTGGGATGAGTTTCCCCTCACTCTCCTCCAACAAACCAAGTGCCCTCAGCTGCTCCTCCATGGCCCCTCCAGAGCCCTCATTGTAGTGTGAATCCAGAATTCCTGCTTTTCCCAGAGAAATTTCCACTATCTAAAGTCTTAACCTCATCAGAGATCCCAGCCACACCCCAGTGAGGAATTTCATTCCCACCTCTCCCAGTTCCTTTGAGTGCACAGCTGCTGTATAATCCAGATTTGTTCTTTCCTCCCCAGCCACACTGCAGGGTTTCCAAGAAAACCATTCTGCTGAAAGGAATCTCAGATGTGGAAGAGGATGAAGAAAGTGTGCAGGACATGATTGAAATTCACTTCCAAAAGCCAAGCAATGGTGGGGGGGAGATAGAGGAAATCAAATACATCTCCAGAGGAGCAGCCTATGTTTATTTTGAGGAGGATACTGGGAATGCCACCTCAGAAATCACAGGGCACTCATGAAGTTCTGAGGTTTTGTTCCTCGGGGATTTATGTAGATAGTGTGCTTTGATGCTCTGAAATGGATCCTGTAGAAAAGGAGTCCCTGCCTTCCTGATTTGTCTCATGGCACTTTGCATTGGAAGTCAGCAAAACTCCCTGCCTGTGTTGCAGATTAAAGGCACAGCCCAAGCCTTCAGCAGCCCCTTAAACATCTCAGATTCTCTGCAATTTTCCATAGTTTATACCTTGCAGGTTTTAAGATACTCCAGAGTGGGATGAGTGCATGATTTCTTACATTCTGGATACAAAAGCCATATTTAATCCCAGCCCAAGCCTCCTCACAGTGCTGCTTTGTTTGAAGTGCCAGAGCTTCAGAAGGTGGCTCTGACACAGCTCCAGTCCTGCTGAGGTTGCTGAGTGAAACACCTGAAAGAATCCTGTAATTTCATAAAAGCCACTTTATTAAATTAGTGATAGAATTAAAATAGAAAAAGGGGGCGTGCAAAACAAATTGCACTTAAGAAATGCCCTGGTATTTGCTGCCTTTAGCTGTTTGTAGCCTGCTTTATTGTTTGATTTTAATATTTGTTTCTGCAATTCCGTTTTTCCTCAGTTTTGTTCATGATTTTGGCTATTCTAAACTATTTCAGCCAAGGATTGATCTGGTGCTGTACCTGGTTTTGTAACAATGCTGGTGAACAGCCCTGTGGGATCTGGTGGTCCCAGGCTGGGAGGGCTTGGACAGAGTAATTTTCCAAGGAGGAATGTTTTTCCTTTTCTGCTGTCGTCCTTGGAAAACAAATCCTCCTCTGACTTTGCACTTTTGCCATCCTTGGGGGCTGAAATGGTTTGGTCCCAACAATCTTGACTCCAAACTAACATGAGCATGGCATTGGAAAGAATTTATTTTTGGGGTATTTGACATCTTGGTATGCAGGGAAAGGAGAGGGAATACCTCAGGGATTATTATTCCAGACAAACTGTTAATTTGCAATAGATGAAAGTTGAATATGGAAAATGAAGAGGCTGCAAACACCACAGTTTATTTTGAATTTGCTGTTGAGTGAGATACATGTGACTGTAGCACCTCTCACTGTTTAGGGCCTGCAAAGGCAGGGATTGACTACCTGACCACTGTAAAATAATAATAATAACTTCAAACAAAGTAGTGCTGAAGTATTTATGGACATTGTGCACTTTTGCACTCTGAGAAACTTGGTAAGACCAGACACTTTAAAAAGAGAGGGGGGAAAACCTGAGAAAGGTAAAAAATGTCATGAATTTCAACTGCATCTCACTGATAAATATTGAGAAGTAAATCCTTAAAAAGGAAAAAGCTCAAAATTCTCATAAGGATTAGTGAGAAGCTGCAGGTTTTAAAGCCCAGAAAACAAATCAGATTTTTACATTTGAAAGACAGTGTAAATGTCTTGTCTTTGTCTCTGATGAATTATGGCTTGTGATGATTACCCTGTTCAATTTTAAAGCAGCAGCGGTGCTTTAAAGGCTGGAGACTGGTTTTAATGATGAAAAACAAGAATAAAGCGTCAGTGATGTTTCTGTAAACGGTAATATCCTTTTTTCCTCCACGCTGGGGTAACTTTCTCTCGGGCTGGGAGGTTTTTATTCCCAAATTACACACGGGGACATTTCCCAGCTGCAGCTTTCACCCAGACATGGGTGTCCAGTGAGGCACGGGGCTGTCTGGGGCCGTGGGAGCCTTTGGGGTGCCACCCGAGCGTCCCTGCCCATGTGGGACAGTGGGAAGGAATTCCTGCCTGGCAGGGTGGGCAGCCCTGGCACAGGTGCCCAGAGCAGCCGGGGCTGCCCCTGGAGCCCCGGCAGTGTTCCCTGGCCCTGCATGTCCCTCTCCACGTGTATCTCTCCATGCATGTCCCAGCCCATGTATGTCCCATATATGTCCCTCCATGTGTATGTCCCAGTCCACTCCTGTCCTTCACGTGTGTCCCTGCCTGTCTCTCCATGTCTGCCCTTCTCCCTTGTGTCCCTTTCCATGCGTGTCCCTCTCCATGTGTATCACTCTCCATGCGTGTCCCAGCCCATGCGTGTCCCTCTCCATGTGTGTCCCAGTCCATGTCTGTCCTCCACGTGTGTCCCTCTCCATGTGTGTTTCTGTCCCTCTCCATGCGTGCCCTTCTCCCTTGTGTCCCTCTCCATGTGTGTCCCTACCCATGTATTTGTCCCTGTCCCTGCACATCCCTCTTCATGCATGTCCCAGTCCATGTGAGTCCCTCTCCATTTGTGTCCCAGTCCATGTGTGTCCCTCTCCATGTGTGTCCCTGTCCATGTCTGTCCTTCTCCACGTGTGTCCCTCTCCATGTGTGTTTCTGTCCCTCTCCATGCGTGCCCTTCTCCCTTGTGTCCCTCTCCATACCTGTCCTCCACGTGTGTCCCTCTCCATGTATGTCCCTGTCCCTCTCCAGTCTGCCCTTCTCCCTTGTGTCCCTGTCCATGTATTTATCCCTCTCCATGTGTGTCCCTCTCCATACCTGTCCTTCTCCACGTGTCCCCTCTCCATGCGTGTCCCTGTCCCTCTCCACGCATGCCCTTCTCCACGTGTCCCTTGTCCATGTCCTGAGTGACTGCAGCTCTAAAAAAACTACCCTACCTAAAAAAAAAGAATGCAAATTTCTATACTAAAAAATAAAAACCTCCTCAGACCTTAAAACAAACAAGGCAAAGTAACCCAAAAGTTCTTTCTATACTTTCTAACAAAAACTAAGTACAAGTGTAACTAACTGTAAGTATAATGTGAAATCAACAAAATAAATATGCATTAACCTATTATGAAATTCTATGCCTATAAAAATTAATAAAAGTAATAAAAAAAGATCAAAAGTTCTTAAAGATACGCATGTCCATTAAAGGGCGATAAGTCCCGACATGCGTCCACAGCGCTATAAATAAACATACATCATGTTACAAATATTTATAATAAACATACCCCATTGCCTACAAAGCTTTATTAGATTATAACATTTAATTTTTCATCCGGTGCCCATTCCCAGTGCCCGTTCCAGGCGCCTGTTCCCGGCGCCCGTTCCGGTGCCCGTTCCCGGTGCTCCTTCCCGGTGCCCGTTCCCGGTGCTTGTTCCCGGTGCCCGTTCCCGGTGCTTGTTCCCGGTGCCTGTTCCCGGCCCGTTCCCGGTGCCCGTTCCCGTCCCTGTTCCCGGCCCCTTCCCGGTGCCCGTTCCCGGTGCCCAGTTCCCGGTGCCCGTTCCAGGCCCATTCCCGGTGCCCGTTCCCGGTGCTCCTTCCCGGTGCCCGTTCCCGGCCCATTCCCAGTGCCCGTTCCCGTCCCCGTTCCCGGTGCCCATTCCCGGTGCCCGTTCCTGGTGCCCGTTCCCGGCCCCCGTTCCCGGTGCCTGTTCCCGGCCCCTGTTCCCGGCCCCCGTTCCCGGCCCATTCCCGGTGCCCGTTCCCGGTGCCCGTTCCCGGCCCATTCCCGGTGCCCGTTCCCGGTGCCCGTTCCCGGCCCATTCCCGGTGCCCGTTCCCGGTGCCCGTTCCCGGCGCCCATTCCCGGTGCCCGTTCCTGGTCCATTCCCGGCCCATTCCCGGTGCTCGTTCCCGTCCCCGTTCCTGGCCCATTCCCGGTGCCCGTTCCGGTGCTCGTTCCCGGTGCTCGTTCCCGGTGCCCGTTCCCGATCCATTCCCGGCCCATTCCCGGCCGGAGGGGCGGGCGGGGCCGCGCTGCGTTCCCGTTCCCGTCCCCCCCGGGCTGGGGGCGGCCCCGGGGGCGGCCCCGCCGCTTCCCCGCCGCTTTCGCTTTCGCTTTCGCTTGCCCGCCGGGCCCGCTCGATCCGCGCCCTTCCCGCTGGGATCCGCATCCCGCTGGGATCCGCATCCCTGTGAAATCCCCATCCCGGTGGATTCCCGTCCCGGTGAGATCCCTTCCCGGTGGGATCCGCATCCCGGTGGATTCCCGTCCCGGTGAGATCCCTTCCCGGTGGGATCCCCATCCCGGTGGATTCCCGTCCCGGTGAGATCCCGTCCCGTTGGAGCAGCCATGGTAAGTGCCGGGGCCGGGAGGAGCTGGGGGAAAAGCGCTGGGAAAGGCTGGAAAGGGAACTGGGGAGGGATTGGGGACAAGGATGGAGGGACAGGAGCCAGGGAATGGCTCCCACTGCCAGAGGGCAGGGATGGCTGGGAGATTGGGAATTGGGAATTCCTGGCTGGGCTGCAATTCCCAGAGCAGGCTGGGGCTGCCCTGGATCCCTGGCAGTGCCCAAGGCCTGGCTGGATGGGGTTTGGAGCAGCCTGGCACAGTGGGGGGCTCCCTGCCCATGGCAGGGGTGGCACTGGGATGAGCTTTAAGGTCCATCCCAACCCAAACCGCTCCAGGATTTGCCAGGAAGCCCCAGCAGGACCCGTTGTCACCAGAGGCGCTGCCCCATTCCCGGCCCCATTCCCTCCAACTCCTCCCGCCGCATTCCCGGCCCCATTCCCGGCCCTATTCCCTCCACATCCCCGCCTCATTCCCGGCCCTATTCCCTCCCCATCCCCGCCTCATTCCCTCCCCATTCCC